TAACCCTAGCTTTCCCCTTGGCCTTGACAAGATGGAAACTATTCACACTTCCCACTGCGGGAACCAAGTATAATCCTCTTTGGGAGGATCTTCCTTTTAGGGAAACGATCACAGAGACAAGCTTGAGAGGGCTCAGCAGTCCTCTGGGTTCAGAATCTGTAAAGAAGTGGCTGCCTGCCTCTAATCGACCTCTTGCAATGCATAGCACGGAGCATTCTTCTTTATTAGCACAGACTTCTGCACCCTGAGAACTAGGTCAGTATCTGGGTGATGAGAACTTCGGGAGCAGATAATGGGAGAGTAAAGACCATTGTCCCTCAGTGTATTTGGCATCCTTTCTACAGGTAAGACCAGTTGCTTTACCAGACTGGAGTTGGTAGTCTATTAAAAACCTATTTAGACTTGGGGGAAAGTTCCCCTTTGGTTGCTGTTCTTGGGAACAAATGAGCTGTAGATCATTCCTAGTTAGCAGAGAGTGAACAGGCATTGACAGATCATTTATTTTTCCTCCCAGTTAGGTTGCCCTCTGAGATTTGAAAACTTCCCCCAGACCCGCCTGTGAGAGGGTTTCCTGGTGTTTGGAAACTTCCTCTATTATGACTCCCTTCCCGGGACAGGTCTCCGTCCCTAGCTCTTTTGTCTCTTTTTATCTTTTATATTTTGTCCTACCTCCTTTCGAAGACGATGGGCTGCTTTTCTGGGTGCCTGATATCTTCTGCTAGCGGTCAGAAATTGTTTTGTGAAGTTTGCTCAGCTTTTTCAAATATTCTTTCGATGAATTTGTAGGGGAGAAAGTGGTCTCCCTGTCCTATTCCTCCGCCATCTTCTTGAATCTCCCATTGACAGATCATAAACGGCCACCATTATTATTTTTTTTTGGCTGCATCACGCGGCATGTGGGATCTTAGTTCCCCAACCAGGGATTGAACCTGCACCCTCTACAGTGGAAGCAGTCTTAACTACTGGACCACCAGGGAAGCCCTAGCCACCACTTGTGAAGTTTTGGAGTTTGTGGAGGGACTAGGTACAAAATGAAGACGGGGGAAGGGTCAGGTTGGAGGTGCAGAGCAGAATAGGTTTGCAAGAAACTAGGTGCAGTCACCCAGGCTCCTGCTCGCTTGGTGCTTCTAGATGGGCAGTGTGTGTTCAGGGACAGTGAGAGCCGTTCCCCCACAGGTCTCTCCCCTGCACTCCTGGCGGAGACAAGGGGCATATTCTCTCTCCCCAGCTTTGCCTCCATCCCCCAGAAGTCGGGGCAGGCACTGCTGCCTGGGAGCATCTGTGGTTATGCTTTGACCGTTAAGGAGCTGGTCCATGGACCTGAAGTTCAGCAGGAATACAAGGGAGTAAAAGTACAAGCAAATACAAGAGGAATATACAATGGAGAAGGGTGGACTATGTCTCTGCAGAGCAGATGGGATTCTTGGGTTTTCCAAATAATCTCCCTATTGGGTGTTAAGAGAGACTACAGAATGCACTGTTCCAATGCGGGGACAGAGCCAGGTGCTTCTAGACGGGGAGTGTGTGTTCAGGGAAAGCGGGGGCCCTACCCTTATCCCCACCCGTCTAGAAGTATCTGTAATCTGTAAACAGAGTGTAGCTTTTAAAACTGTATAAACAAAAAAAAAAAATAAAAAATTTAAATAAAAATAGTACTCCCCCCCAATATGTAACATTTGCAGTCTTCTGGAGGTCAGAAAGCACTATAAAACATTTCTTATAAAAGTATTTTTTAATAAACTGATGTATTTCAATGTTGTTAACATGATAGCCCAATGCTATATCAAGGTAGCAAAAGTGAAGATTCCTGGTATTTTTTCATATAAACACTATGAATGACAGTACATTTGCATTCAAATTCACAAGAAATAAATCTTCAGGTTCATGAAGATTCTCCAACTGCTGTTAACACCTTTCAAACAATGAAGATGCGTATTGACTGGGTAGACAATGAAAGTCTAATGACTGAGCTGCTAAACCATACTGAAGGGAAGGGGTACAGTGGCAGTATGGCCAATTTGCTGAATAGAACCCACGCCTTTTAAACTTAGTCACTGAAAGAAAATACAGCATGTATCAAAATTACAGAGTATCTTATAGAAATGGAGCCATAAGACGACACACAGATTAGAACCCTGAAGCAGTGAACATGTTTCTACCCGTTTTGTGATGGAAAGAAGCCATGGATACAGAGTCCCGCAGCTGTCTGTAGGGTTGAATCTCATACACACAATGCTATCAGTTGGTGAAAACCAGAATTCCCTGCTCTGTACAAATGCTGGTGAAGGTAACTTGCACTATTGCTGTGGGTCAGAGCAACAGTGGGCTGGATTTCAGACATCAAGTGGAGGCTCTCTTTACTGCTGCATCACTGCCTTCTACCACGCCACAGGCCACGCTTTCCAAAACTGATGCCCCCTTCTTAGTGTTGAGAAAAAGAAAAAAACCAAAACCAAAGGGCACTGAGAACAAACAGTAGAAGCCAGCAGCTCCCGACCCTCTTTAACACTATTACTGCCCAACCCACCGTGAGAAATGAGTTTCACTTGGTTACAGCTACAGAGAGAACATCTGATGCCATCGTATCACATGTATCTTAATGACCTGATTTTTTTAGATAGGATTTTTCTTAACAGAGATCAGGTTGAGAACAAGAGGCTTTTCCTTCAAGGGCAAGGGAAGGTGGCTAAATGCTAGTTAATTAAATTCAGCCTCAATTTTGAACTGCAGTGAATAAATGGACTTAAATGAGATTTTCTAAAGACACTTAGTTTCTCAACCTCAAGTACAATTAGACTGCCAACAATCTCATGTCCAGAATTTTATCTGCTGATTCTACAGATAATTGGCCTTTTAGGCCATTATTTATTTTTACTAAGACCCTTTACACTATTTTTAAACCTCAGGTGCTGCAGATGAAAACAAATACAACAAAATCACAATAAAATCATCTGTGTGCTGAGGTGCTGGAATCTGGATGAGCAAAGGTAGAAGGTTCCTGGCTACTCACCAAGAAGTGCCTAAACAATGGCCACTCCTTCATGGGGGTCAGCAGCACAGACTTAAAATCGTGTATATTTGAATGGATAAGAAAAACACTGGAATCCACCAAATTAAAAAAAAAAAAATCCCAAGCAAACTGCACTAAACATTTATCACTAACCTGAGTTTTAGGTTAGGATAGGACTCTTCTTTGAGTGAACTGATTCACTATCAGAGTCTTTGCATTTTATTCTCAATTTCACTTTTAGACCTGAACTGAGTCAACGTCTCATAAAGATCATATATTCCTTTCTGGCCCATCTCTTAAAACAAGTGCTCTGCCCCTCCCAAAGAACTGAGAATAACTCATAAAGGCTTTCCTCTCCAGAAGCAGAACAGTCAAAAGCGTGATTAGGTTAAGTGGCTTAATTTTCCTCAGGTCAATACCCAAGGTTTATTTTCCCTATGAACAGGGTGTGCTTTATTTGATAAAACGACTCAAAATCAGCTTATGGAAAAGTTAAAAATGTAGTTTACTGAAAGATATGTATCTTTACAAAGAGTAATAGCAAACAATCCCATCTAGAAGTTTAAATAAATGTAGATGATTTTAAAACTAACAATATATATAAAGCTGAAGTCACTGCCTTGGATAATTTATACACTGCATCCAATATTTTATATAGGACATTCATTCTTAAGGCAGAAAAATTGAATCTGACATGTAATGACTTGGCTCTTACATCCAAGGGTCAAACTGGGAGTAGACATGAGCAGACAGATTCCTTGCTAATGAGGACATACCTGGGGTGACAACTTCATTCTTAGAGTAGGTCATGTAAGACACATACATTTGGGAGAACAGAAAAAGATGGAAGTCTAAGACACATAAATATGTGTTTTCCACATGAGGTCAATGAGACTAGGCTTTCTATTATGAGGTGAAACTACTCCCATAATAAACTAATAAACTTCAACATAGTCTTTCTGGTAGGGAACATAAAATGCTTAAAATATCCAAGTATTCACTTTTTTGGAAAGTGTTCGTTTTAGACTCTAGTTTTCAAGATGTAGTATAAAAGGTAGCCTGAATAGTTAAAAGCAGTTGAATGTCAACTCACACTGCTACTCAGAAGGCTACCACTTAGGATACTCCTGTCCCATGTACAAAATCCTGTGCACGGAGGATATTGATATATACTAAAATAAAAATGAAGCTCCCCGCAATGCATGTGCAAAAACACTTGTTGCCAGCAAGAATATCTTTAACGAAAAACATCTTACTTACAGAATCAGAGGCATCAAAGCCAGACTGACACGAGAGTGCACCACCCCCTGGAGGTGGACGGATATTTGGGATGAAAGCAACCGTTCAGCGGGAACCCTGGGTGATGTGCTACTTGGAGAGGAAGGCGCGCTGAGAGCACCGCGTGGGCGCCTCTCACGCAGACCAAGGTCCTGAGCCCGCAGGGCTGTGTGCTCCTTCACTCTCTGCATCCTGGTGCCCAAAGGGTAACAAGAACAAAGACAAACCTGAAAGACAATTCTTAAGCAGGTCATGGTGCCTAACTGCATGAGTACCTTCCTCTGTGCCTATCACGTATGCCGTAGCTGGGGCAAGGGTCAGAAGTGTACAAAGATTACCTGCCTAAGTTCTGAAGACATGATTTTTTTCTTTCATGGTGGCAGGAGTCCATGCAAGATTTGTAAACAGTGATACAAAATACTGTAAACATAACTTAACAGAGCTTGTATAAAACAGAAGAAGTAAATCCAAATTTACAAGTGGGTAAAAAAAACAGAGGGCAGCTTCATACAAAGTTCTCCCTCCTGCGCCAAGTGATTTCTTTTTTTTTTGTTTTGTTTTTGATTACAAATATAATCCTGAGCTGAAAAACTGGGATTTGGGGGAGAGCCATCTTTGCATACAAAATATCCAAAGGACGTTTATTCTTTCACTTTTCTCTAGTGATAGTCAACTGCCACAGACAGTCCTGAATGTGTGACTTTGGAGACATTTATAGTTTGGTGTGGCGCCCAGGTCTGGAGCCTGCGGTGGTGCTGGCCACGGAAGCCGAGGCTGCAGCGTCCTCTGCTTCCTCCAGTTCGTCCTGGAGCTCCTGGCTGACGCTGGACTGCAGGGCTGCGGGTGTGAGCCACTCCTTTGGGAGGCAACTCTGTAGAAAAGGTATACAGGAGCTGAAGTAGGCAAGCCGATTGATCCAGCGAGGAATCTCTTTCCCACAGAGAATCTACAGAGGAGAAGGAGCGTAGCATTAGGTGAGAGACTGAGGTTATCTGATGCGCTGCCAAGGAGTGGAGGGTCAGGGAGGCAGGCGGATATGCAGAAAAGCCACTGCTCCATATCCTTTGGTGCTATTACTTCCAGCCTTTGATGACAAGCCGGTCCCTAACTCAGAGGCCTGGGGTCTCCCTATTGTCAGCTCTGTCCCTTCCTTTCTGAAGAACTTTGTTAAGCTGCTTATTTTTTACATCTATAAAATCCAGCTAATTCCATTTGGTTCCTTTCTTTGCTCTTTGCAACTGCCTGGAGATGCTTGTAGAAGTATTTTGAACACAGAAGAAAAGATGTGTGAAAGAAAATACTGACAAGTAACAGGAGCTCCAGGCAGTTCTCATCCTTACCCTTAGAACTTGTCTGTAAAGTAATTAGCCTCCAACTAATAAAAAAAAATGGAAAAAAAAAAGAACTTGTAAGCCTCATCTTTTTCCAACTGCAAACAGTATGAACTAGGTCTTTTATAATACTAACTTTATTACCCTCCTTTCCTTCCATAGTCGAAACTGGGCTCAACTAGGCCATGCTTTATTGTCCCTGTGGTGGTGTTGCCTCTAATCATGTCAAAGATGATAATCATTACAATTATGATCCAGAAGTGAAGTATCAGCTAGTTTAGCTTTGTTGGTTTCAAAGTATCTTATGTCCAAAAATTAGCTAAAATGTAAATAAGCTAGCACCTGTAATCAAGCAATGTGACATTGTAGCCCTATGCCTTAATGGCTTCATTTAAACACTATGTCTCTGTCTTAACTACAAAGCTAGAGGGTGGTCTCACTGGGGGGAAAGAAGAAAGTTTTGATCATTTTTGATTACACTGCCTGGAAGCCCTGAGAGGCAGACAGTACTTAACCATACTTGAAGAATGTGCATAAAGTAGATCTGGGGGAAAGCTGAGCAATGACCTTGTATTATTCCATTCCTATCTGTTTATTCTAAAAAACACAGGCAAACAAGTATTCCATTATGTTTTACACCCAAGACATAATTAGGGGGATTTGTATATTTGAAGGTCATCACAGAAGTGGTGACTAGGAATAGTTAGGTTAATGTAACAAGCCATTGTTTACTGTCCAAGTGGTTTTCTTCATTCTCCTTCCTAAATCCTGATTTTATTTCTCCATGTATGAATGTACTTCATGGGAAGCTGACTTCATCTCAACATCCAGAGCTGGCTAGATTAACCTAAAACAGAGTTCTGTAAGCTAAAGCCACCTGTTTTTATAAATAAAAATTTTACTGCAATACAGCCATGCCCCTTCATTTTTTTAAGGCCTATGCTTCTTGGGCTACCATGGTAGAGACAGAGTGGAATCCAGGAATAGTAGCCCACAGGCCTAAAATATTTACTATATGGCTCTTTCAGAAAATGTGTGCAGATCCTCAATCAAGCCAATGTCTTTTATTAACTTTTGAGTCAAGATTCATAAGTAGGTCATTTAGCACTGTAACTTGAATTCTTAAAATGAAATAAACTGTAGATAATAGGGTATCTGTGATACTTGTTTTTTTTTTTATACTTGTTTTAATTATGTGTACATATCTAGATCATGATGTAAAATGTATTTTACTGTGAAAAGTGATAAAAAATATTTGATTCATATAACAAAATTACTTTTGCATTTAAGCATGAATTTGGTAATAATCTCTCTTACTAAGAATTTACTAAAAAGAGGTATGCACAGGATTATTAATTACAGCCCAGTTTGTAATAGCCAAAGACTAAAGATAACCCAAACATCATTAATAGGAAACTGACATTTTGACACATCCAAACAAGGAGATCATTCAGCTGTTATAGAATAAACTCCATGCTATAACGTTAAGTGAAAAAAAAAAAAAAAAGTAGAGAAAAGTGTGTATAGGATGCTCCCCAAATATAATGGTGGGTAGGCACAGAGTAAATTATCCACATTCCTGTTCTAAAAGGGAGAACATGGAAAGCAGGAAGGAATTATTAGTTCTAAGCAATTTCAAAATCTGACTTGGCAACCTCCATTAGGTTACAAGGCTTGGGACTAATCCTCTGTGGTCCTCAGTTCTGTTGTCTGGGCCCATGAAATCATCCTTTCTCACAAGCCTGCTTCCTGCCTATAGAATCCAAGAGTCATCTTGCATTTTGTCCTTTCTCTGTCCCTTTTATTTCAAGCTGGCAGTGTTTCTACTAACATAACAACCTCAAAAATGTTGAGTCTCCTGTGTACATCATGGGATTCACTCCACGAGATATGAGGTTCCTCTACAGATCTCTCCTGGAAGATTCCATCTCTATCCCTGATTTCCCAAGATGGTTCAAAGGATCCAGGAGTCAAATCTTTAATCTCTTCAGCAGCAGCAAATCTTACCCAGTCACACCCTTGGGCCTTCTCTCTACAATATGCTTTTCTAACAGAAAAGCCCCTACTTTTACCATCTTATCCACATGGACAGGCTGAACAATTCCAAATCATTAAGTTTTGAGTCCTCTGTCGCTTAACTTTTTTTCCCTCATTTTATCTTTCTTTGTTCATTTCTTTTTTTTCCTTTGTGCTTAAGCAGAAAGAATACGTTGAACACTTTGCTTGGAAATCTCATCAGCTAAATATTCAAGTTTAATGCTTATAGTTCTGCTTTCCACAAAACTGCTGGACAAAATTCAGCTAAGCTTCTTGTCACTATATAACAAAGATTTCCTCTAGTTTCCAATAACATGTTCCTTATTTCCTTCTGAGCCCTCACCAGCAGCACCTTTAATATCTATATATTTAATATTTCTACTAAGTTTGTTCAAGGTAATCCAGGTTTTTTCTATCAAACTCATTATTGCTCCAGCCTTTACCAATCACCTAATTCTAAAACCAACTGCACATTGGTAAAGGTATTGTTATAGTAGTGGCCCATCTCTAGGTACCAACATCTGTACTGGTTTCCCGGGGCAACTTTAACAAACTATCAGAAACTCAGTGGCTAAAACAATTCAATTTTTTCTCTTACAGTTCTAGAGGCCAAGGAAGAAGGGTGGAGGGGAGTGGATATTGAGAAGTCAGAAAGCTATAAACACATTTTGTTTTTTCTTTCTCCAACATTTGACTGTGGAACTATGAAAAGACTTTATAAACACAAAATTAAACAAAAAAGCACCCCCCAACCAAAAATAGGATCAATGAAACAAGGACCCTGTGGAGTAAACTGGTGGCATAACCACACAAGAAAAAAAATTATTTCAACTAACTATAAAACACTGTTACTTTTATTGAGCCATACTCAAAATAGAACTGCAAAAAACTTCCATTTTTCAGTAGTCATACTGTCGGTGGCAGTGGTTATACTACTACTCTAAGGTTGCTTTAGGTATAGACGGATTAAAATGAATGGGTGATTATGTTATTGTTGAGAAATGGGATTTTATACCTGGCATAGCAAAGTACAGATATACTATTGATAAGGTTAAGTAAAAATCCTATAGCCTGAATTTTAAGTTGAAACACCACTGCTACTGCTAAGTCACTTCAGTTGTGTCCAACTCTGTGTGACCCCATCCCTGGGATTCTCCAGGCAAGAACACTGGAGTGGGTTGCCATTTCCTTCTCCAATGCATAAAAGTGAAAAGTGAAAGTGAAGTCGCTCAGTCAAGTCCAACTCTTCACGACCCCATGGACTGCAGCCTACCAGGCTCCTCCATCCATGGGATTTTCCAGGCAAGGGTACTGGAGTGGGGTGCCATTGCCTTCTCTGAGAAACGAATCTGTAAAAAGTCCTAGCTCTGTCTACTGCAGAAAAAAAAAAAAAATCTAGAAACTATCACCAACGCACTAGCAAGGAGAAACCCTAATGCCCAGATTAAAATTTCTAAATATTTACTAGAAGGAAACAGTTCTGAGGTAGGAAATACATAGATGAGCCTGGAATATTTCATTATACCAAAAACCAAGAAGGCTACTAAAGATGAACGAGGTCAGGGTGGGATGAACTGGGACTGACGAACATACGCTACCATGTACACGACAGGTAACTAGTGGGAACCTGCCGTATAGCACAGAGTACATGACTCAATGCTCTGTGGTGACCTAAATGGGAACGAAACCCAAAGAGGGGATATGTGTACACTTATAGCTGATTCACTTCATTGTACAGCAGACACTAACACACATTGTAAAGCAACTAAACTCCAATAGCATATCAAAAGACTCAGAAGCTGACTTAAAAAGAATCCCACTGATAAAAAATAGGACAAGGACAGTAACTGCACTAAACTGAAATATATCGATTATTTTTAAATCTGGGGGGGGGGTGAAATCTATAGTTATACCACATTCTGAAAAAATCTGTTACCTTTGGAGAATGCTAGGGAACTCTATCAGGAGTCCCTAAGACCATCTCCGGGTTAGGTGAGTTGTTGAGGGGACTCACAGGACTTGGCATATAGCTGTATTCACAGCTATGATTTATTATGGTAAAAAAAACAACAACAAAATTAGCAAGAAAAAAGGCACAGGGCGAAGTCCAGAGGAAATCAGGCACAAGCTTTCAAAGGTCCTCTTCACAGTGGAGTCACATGGGAGAAGCAGCTGTGGCAACACGCGTGGAATGTTTACTTCCAGGGGAGCACGAGAGACCTAACATCCAGGTTTTAGAGGCTGGCCACACAGGCCCCGTCCCTAGCATGCACTTAAAACTGTGGGCTCCCAGAACCAAAGCAGGGCTTCAGCATAAGGCGCACCGTCACACAGACAGCTCAGGTACATGAGCCCTTAACCCGCGGGAGTCTGGGGCAGGTGGGACCCTCCCGAAAACCAAGTTCTCAGAGGCAGCCAAGGATGACAGCAGGCGTTTTTAAGGACAGCAGTCTCTGGGCTGCTTTGTTAACTTTTCTGGCACCGTTCAGCCCTCAGCCAAGCTGTCACAGCAGAAATGATCAAAGGACCTCCTGGAGCACTGAGCCCAACTTGAAGTGCTGAGCTCAGCTGCACTCTTGAGGGGTGCCAGACTTAGCCAGTTGAAACAAACTCCATGAAATCATCATAGTTTAAGTTTCAGTATGAGCTTTCTTCATCTGGTCTAAGGTATCCATTTAGGCACTGCACAATGCTGGCCAGTAAGCTGAAGCAGGCCTCTCGGCAGGCCCTGAAGTCGGCCAGCTCCTTGACCTGGGACTTCCAAGCCTCCAGAACTGGGAGAAATAAATTCTTTTTGTTTACAAGCCACCAGTCTACAGTATTCTGTCACAGCAGCCCAAATGGACAGGGCCCTCTGCTCCAGGGTTTCTAATCTAGTCTGAAAAATGAGCTGCATCTTGGTTTCAGAGGGATGCCTGAAGGCACTCAGTTCCAAGCAGTTCTGTCTGTCCACGACACAGAGGTTATCAGCCTCGTGAGTGTGGAAGACATCTGTTCATGTTCGGTGCGGGGAGGGCAGGAGCGAGGGCCACCCTCTGCTCTCCCTGAGCCAATGCTGTCACTGTGATTACAAGCTCAGTGGCCTGTCCGAATTAAGGTGCCTGCAGCAGCTGAGGCAGGCAGAATGAAAAGTTCTTCCTCAGGGAGAGGGAAAAGATTATTAATGCCTTCACCCATCCTGGCCTCCTCAGGGGCCAGGGTTTTCTTTGGTTGCTGCTGTTGTTACAAAATCAGTATGTCACATTCAGTAATCATAAGCTGATATTAAAAAAAGAATACCCTACTCTCCCCCAGACCTTTTGTTTAGATTTGGAAGGGAAGTATATATGAGAAACAGAAGAGTTTTCAGAGGAAACATTTTTATATAATTTAACCAGCTAGATGCATTACATTAGCAATCAGTCAGGATTAAATTCTGAATTTCCAGCAAATTTCAAAATGGGTTTATATAGCCAACCCCTCCTTTCCTCCTGGTCATTTATCTAGAGAATGGTCTAGAAAAGATCCCTCGGATTCTGGGGATGGCTGCATGTGGTAATCAAGCTACCTTACTCAGGTGGGTGCTCCAGGAGACAGGGTGGAGAAAAGCAGAGTTAGGTGAGCCCTCCGTTGCTGCGAACTGCAATGAATTCTGATACTCAATTCTGATACTCATGAGGGGCCTGCACTGAAACAGCCCCGAGGTGGGGCTGAGAGTAAGTTCTGTTAGGGGTGGTCACAGGGCGGAGGGGTCACAGGCCCGGCGATGTGCTCTCCCCTAACCTGCAGCTTTTGGCAATAATCACCAAGCCAGGAATGCAATGTCTCTGTCTGAGAAATACAGAGCTGGTCAGCAGCTCAATTTCAGATGGTCCCGATGGAGGACAAGCCCCTTTCTGGGGACACCTCCAACATGCTTCAGTCAACATCCATGGTGTGTATCTTACAAACACGCCACTGGTCCTCAGAAAACAACTGGAGAGGGACAGCAACAGTGTGCATAGTCCTGTTTGAAAGCTCTGCTGTGGAAGCCAGGAGGCCAGTGAAAAGGGCCAGCTAGCTAAGCAGCTCTGCAGAGAAGGTCACTGAAATTGCAGCTCATAGTCTCCTTTACAGATCTCACCATTCCTGTGGTACTCGATGTGGCCACTGTGACCATCTGCTAAGTGTCAGAAAGCTGGGAAGCGGTTTCAAGTGCGATTTAATTCTCCAGACCTTATTTTATAATCTTTTAAATTTCTTCCCTCCATTTTCTTTTTTAAGGTCCTTTAATTTGGATCTACTTTAGGTTTTCTGCTTGGCACCCAAGAACTGGAAAGGCAGTAAAGTGCCTGTGTGATGACTGGCAGAGTAAAATTTCTAGATAGGAGAAATGAATCACTTATTAATAAGTAAGAGCCAGAAAAAAGTTCAAGTTGGCAACTAAAAGTTAGGAAAAGAGGAATCCTATTGGCTAAGAAGTGGAAGTCACTTAGGCATTAATTTTTTATGATTTTTTCCCCCAATCCCCTTGGCATTAATTTAAGTGAAAATATAAAGCTGTAATAAAATAAATTAGAATAAGAAGCGACTCATTATTGTACTCACTCTACACACTTGCTAGATCATGACTAGAATTACAATTTAAAACTGCGCTGACTCTAAATGAACTTATGGTTGGGACTTGGAGAGGGGGAGGATAGTAAAGAGTTTGGGACGGACATGTACACGCTGCTGTATTTAAAATGGATAATCAACAAGGTCCTCCTGCAGCACGGGGAACTCTGCTCAATGTTACGTGGCAGCCTGGATGGGAGGGAGACTTTGGGGGAGAATGGATACATGTACGTGGATGGCTGAATCCCTCTGCTATTCACCTGAAACTATCACAACACTGTTAATCAGCTATACTCCAAAACAAAATAAAAATATTTTAAAAAATTGAATGCATAAAGTAAAAAAACCCCCAAACTATGCTGACTTTAAAGTTGCCAACTTTGGAAAGGTCACTATTAAGAAATAGCCACAGAAAAGAAATAAAATACCATATATTACATAATGTAAATAAACAGAAAAAATAACTTGCTAAATATAGTGGGGCAGTAAGTATATGAAAATGTTATTTCTTTGAAGAACTTTTAGAATAAAATTTACCTCTGATAAAGCCGAAGAAAAGTGATTGCAATTTTTATGCATCAAATGATAGGCATTGCCTTTGTATTCTTTTCCCAATTCTTCCACAATTTTTTCTATATCATCTTCTAGGAAGTCAGTGCTCCCTAAAACAACAGCTTCTCTTAAAGAGAAAAAAGAAAAAAAAGAATATAGCTGTGTGAGTTATATTATAGGCATGCTTAAAGACTTATTTCCAGAAATGCTTATTTCCAGGAACATTATGATGGATGTTTAACAAAGCAGGGTTAATGTTATGACTAAAAAGTAAATGAGGTATTTTAATAATCTGATTATTTTAGTTTCTACTTTTTAAAAGCAATAAGCTCTTAAGTATACCACTTCTAAATAATACAAATGAAAATAAGTCATTTCCCTTATTAAACAGTATTATATTAAAAATGTAATACCACAGTTATTTTTATTACTATTGTATTAGAATTTACATTACTAGAGCACCAGATGCATGCTGCAAATATTCTTGCTTAATTACAGCTGCCATCAAATGGCTGGTCATATTCTCACTTAAAAATCATCTTTTAAGTTGTCAGCCACTGGGCTGCAGTCAACTGTCAAATGACTAATTTTTAAAAAAAAGGCATCATAAAAACAAACCCCTTCTAAACAATACACCAAACCAAAAAACAAATCAACCCCCCACCGCTCCTAAACTACTACCCTGAAATGCGATAGACATTATTCAACAGAGAGTACAATTTTAGAATCCAAGTTAGTTTAGAATCCAAGTTAGAATCCAAGAAAGCTGACAACACTCAGGAAATCCTTTTATCTAGGAGTTTTGACAAATGGGAGACCTAAGAGATGGATTCAGGCTGGCATTATAGCACTTATGTGTGTAAATATTTCAAATTGGTTATAGGCTAAGAGAACCATTAACTTAGTAGTGATAAAAGGGTATCGCCTTATACTTTATTTCAGTGTTATAACCTCATTTCATTATTTTCACTTGGCAACCATTATAGGCCTAGAAGTTTCTTTAAAGCTCCTTGAAACTAAGATTCTAAATATCACTTTAAATATAAAACTTAATTAAGGAACGACAATTTGATTATTAGCATTAGCAGTAGGTTTTCAGTGCTTTTTACTACTCCCAAGGCTCCAGAGTACACTCATATCCATACATTTTAGGTCTATCAGTGCATATAATCCCTTAACAATACTTTCTCGGCTAATCTATTCAGATTACTTTAGTTATTTCAAGTTTATAAACACTGTCCCTTTCACTGGGAAAATGAAGACATTTTTAAGAGTGTTAGGTAGGTCACAATTAATCTTTCCTCCATCTCCCTCCAAATAGGAGACCGAGGGAAGCAATCATTAGATAGGAAAGTCTGTTAAAGCAGAATCTTACATCAAGGTAAAAACATTTGTAAAGTAGACAAAATAACTTTCATGGGTCCTCAATAAGAGCAACAGACTAGCTTCTTTCAGGCACTTTATCTGGCTGATTACTATCTTTATACAACTTAGATTTGATTTTAAAGCATTAGCAACTAAACAACATTGAAGAAACATTTTAACTTCCTATATTTTTTTAATCTACAGAATGAATTCTGTATGCCTGAATATAAGTTTTGGCACCTAAGACAGTGTAATAAAAATTATCCTCCCTACTTACTTAAATTTAAATGTTTCTCCTAGTTCAGAAGCATTTCCTGGGGAAATTTCAAATATTCCAGAAAAGGGATAAGGATGGCCACCATAAGCAAATTCTGAAAAGAGAAAACTCATGATTTTTAGTATTTATCACATAAAATTTAACCAGTATGTTGAATTAGATTTAATAAATGATGAAGATAATAATGATACCATCTAAATATTTTTAAATTTAGTAATGCTTTCACAAATATCTCATTTAGCTATTACTTGTACAGAACAGTTGACACAAGACTTGAAACTCTAATAAAAGATGCTCAAAGGTAATTCTGACTTCTCTGTTTACTTTACAATGGCTAGAGGAGAGTGCCTAACACTCAAAAGAGAAAGAAGTTCCTGTTTCCCTATAACGCCAGAGTACGTAGGTGGTCAGTTCAGTGATGTGCCATTAAAAATTAAAGGGGTCAAATTTCAAACTTGCATTTTACTGGAAAAACTGTCTAATAACAATGAGTTTTCAAGGTTCTTGGGATTAAGACTCTTGGTTTATCTCTGATTAAGAATGAAACATTAGGAAACAGAAAATTGGAATTCAGTCCCCCTCATTCAAGAAACAATAAGCTGAAAAATTAACATATACTACCACTGACACACAGACACACACACTCCACAGCACATCTTTAAGCTAGGAGACAGCAACTTGTATTATAGTGAATGTACATCCAGACTGATCAGATACAAACTCTTATCCAGAATGAAAATGAAGAATGGTTTCAAATCAGGAAGGAAATAAAATTTCTGGCGACAATTATGGTATGAGATACTTTGATATTTAAGTGGAAAATCATAGTAGTCTTAAAGAATTCTAAACAAATGCTTAAATTAATACTGTCACTTATATTTATTAAATATAATCTTAAAGGTTTTAGAACAAAGCATGGGAAAGAACAAGGCAATTCTAAGTTTACTTTTGATTCAGATCTCTCAGAAGAAACAACTATAATGTAGAATAAGAAAGCATTTAATTCTGAAACATACAACTTTTTAATAACAGAACTTTATAAAACATTGTAGATAAGGTTAGACATGGAAAAATCATATTTCGATTTTTAACTTTCTCAATTATAGTAAAATTGTAGGCCCACTTATTCATCCATTCAAGAAGCAATAATTCACTTTTAGGAATGTAGTTGGTTCTGGTTTTGCTCTTTTGAACCATGTTTCTAATTATTCCTAAGTCATTTTATGAATAGGAACAATGATTAGGCAGATAAAAGCATAATGGTATATGAGAATACTTAGTATACTATAGTATACATTTACTATATACATAGTATATGAGAATACTTGGGTTCAAGTCTCAGTTTTGTTAATTAGCAGTATGACTTTCTGCAGGTTTGAGCTCGTTTCTTCACCTGAAAAATGGATGCCCCATGCTCCAATCTACCTCAGAGTAGTGTGGTCATGGGGTTCCAAAATCGATGGCACTTTAAAAACTGTAACATATCACCCAAATTCAGTTAAAAACGAACATTCACGCAACTTTGGCAAAAGCCACATCAAACAGGGAGCAAGCCCACAGACTACAATTTCCCGTGTATCAATACACCAACCACTGGAACCCTCAACACAAACCCCTCTGCTTTCTGGTAGATGCAGTCTTTCAAGTAAAATGGAGCTTATATGGCAGATTTTTATAGTCAATATTTAATATGGTACACTGCACCTAGAAGAAGCTAATTGAGCATATAAAAACGGGACAGAAGAACACCACAGTGACACATGTAAGTCAATGAGCCTTTTCCTTGTATTAGCTAAGCTGGTACCACCGGGTTGCAAAGAGCAGACATGACTTAGCAAGCAAACAACAACAAACGTAGTCTTCAGGGGTAACTGGGAGGAAACTGCAGTAGCATCATCTAAGAGGTCGCAAAGACTGCCGAGCTGAAGCAAATAAGAGCATTTCTGCTATAGGATGAGCTTATGACTCAAACTAGTATATTACAACCTTGCTGAAATTAGCAACGTGATCTGTCTTATGAAGAACATTCTACTTAAAACATGGCAGGTCTTGTACCAAGAGAGAGAATTAGAGCAAAGGAAAAAGCTGTTGAAACAGAGCTGCTTGGTTTGAGTGGTTCCAGCTACGGTTATCATAATGAATGGTAATAAAGAATAAAAAGGGCTCAGTTAACGACAAAGGCCATCATTCTTAAGCAAAAAGCAACATATACTCAAAGGCAGGATTTGCTCAGCAATCTTTTTAAACTTTATAACTATACACTTGTAGGTCTACAAAAACAAGTTACTGAAATTCCCTCAGGAAATTGGTATTTCAAAATTGATGTTCCAGCACCAATCCTTTTCCAACCAAAATGATTATTTATATCATTGTATCTTTTCAAAGTGAAAGGTTTCTTAGGAAGGTCAATATAGATTAAGGCAAAACTGTCATGGTATAACAATCTCAAAAGGAAAATATTAATTACGACACAGGATATAGAAAAAAGATAACTAAATCAATATACACGTGTGTACTTTGAGTACTTTGTCTTCAAACACATTCAATTTGGGGCATTTTTCCAAAATGCAGTATAAACAAATACGGGGAGATTTTCTCCTACTTTCTACAATAAAGCATGGCACTTTAAAAAGGGGGGGGGGGGAAGAGCTACAGTCATGATTTTGCAACCCCTTTAAATGAGAAAAATCTTCAGAAAGTATATTTAGACTGTGTGCACACATACCTCTGCCATATACTTCAATTCCTGAATGAAAAACTCCAATTCCGATGGAAGAGGTGTATTCGTTCATCCAGTACTAGAGGGGAAGAAAAGATTCAGTATATTTGTTCATTTATAATTCAAATCCACTTATAGGAGGCTACTATTTCCTGAATCTTTGACTGAATATTTAGGCCTTCCTAACCCTATTTCTTGGTATTTTCCTTACAGCTCTGAAATTCCCATGATAATGGCACATTCAATCTTATCTCTGTGCCTTTGACTGTGCCACATACCATGTGGAGGAGAAGGCAATGGCACCCCACTCCAGTCCTCTTGCCTGGAAAATCCCATGGACGGAGGAGCCTGGTAGGCTGCAGTCCATGTGGTCGGTGAGAGTCGGACGTGACTGAGCGACTTCACTTTCACTTTCATGCATTGGCGAAGGAAATGGCAACCCACTCTGGTATTCTTGCCTGGAGAATCCCAGGGACGGGGGAGCCTGGTGGGCTGCCATCTATGGGGTCGCACAGAGTTGGACACGACTGAAGCGATTTAGCAGCAGCAGCAGCATACCATATGGAATACCTTCCTGCGTCAAAATGAAAGTGAACTGAAAGTGACAGCTGCTCAGTCATGTCTGACTCTTTGCAATCCCATGGACTGTAGCCCACCAGGCTCCTCTGTCCATGGGATTCCCAGGCAAGAATACTGGAGTGGGTTGATACTTCCTTCTCCAGGGGATCTTCCTGACCCAGGATCAAATCCGGGTCTGCTGCATTGTAGGAAGATTCTTTACTTCCCTTTACCAGGGAAGCTCAACAATCTCATAGTAATCAGAAAAATGCTAGTTAAAACAATAAGCTACCATTCTTTTTTTTTTTTTGGCTACTTAGCTATGGGGTCTTAGTTCTCCAACTAGGGATTGAACCCAGGCCCTCATCAGTGAGAGCAGGGAGCCTAACCACTGAATGGCTAGGGGAACTCCCTACCAGTTTGAAGATCCATCAGACTGGCAAATATACAAAACATTGTTAATATGTAGCGTTGGTGAGGATGTCAGAAGACACTGCACAAATGTGAATCAACGGCAATTAATTAACCATTCCACCTCCCGGAAGCCAGTCTACGGAAATGCTTCAACATATGCAGAGAGATATCCTAGGATATTAACTTCAGTTATCTATAGCACTAAAAACTGGAAACAATCTAAGTACCAGTAGGAGAATGGTTACATTAAGTGATGGTAAATCCATATGATGAACTATCATAAAGCTACTAAAAAGAATGAGTTACTATAAAAGGGCACTAAAAATACACCTAAGACACATAAAGTAAAGACACCAGGTCATAATACATTATCTGTAGCAAGATCACACTTTTGTAAGTTAAATAAATAGGTCCTGTGTATATGTTTACAAGCTAAATATAAAACAAAGCAAAACTACCACCAATGACAACAAAAGGAAGTTGGAAGCATTACAGACCAACTGCTGACAGTTTGGGGGAGCGGAGCGGATACAGCAGGGCGTGTGGACACGGGGAGCAACAGGCACATTCACTTGACTCCATACACTCCAAGCCTGTTTTTCTCCATTTTATGAGCTATGTATATTACTAACTTTTATAATTAGAAAAATGTTTACCCAAATCTATTTGTTCAGTGGTTTCCTGACAGCCAATCTCTAGGACTTAAACTGTCTTTTCCAATTGAGAAATCTCATTGCTTACATTGTTTACAACCAATAATTTGGTCTACTATCTAACTTCTTTAACAATGGCACCAACAGGTTTTTGTTCTAGATGCAGACAGCTCCTATGTAAAGTTACCTTTTCTCTTTTTATGGTGTGAGCGCCTCTCTTTCAAAATAGAATATTTTCGAAAAAGAGAGAGATACATAATAGTTGTCTGCAATAATCAAAAGATTTTAAAACTCTTAGTAAATTGAACATTTATTTGCATTTAACATTTAATATCACTATTAATTTTATCTTTTGTTGACCAGTAAATAGCTTTCTCAAAGTGCTTTTATAATAGATTTCTATAATGTGAATCTAAACGTTTTATTAAGAGAAAGGTTTTCATGCAAAAACAAAAACAAAAACAAAACCCCTGCACAATGACTTTTGCCAGAAGAGTTAATACAGGTTTAGGATGGGAATGTACTTGTCAGAGTGCGGAATCCTAGACTCAGAAATCTTTTACTCTCTGTTCTTTCACAGTTGAAAATAATCTCTTCTATAGCACTTCTGTATGTTGCCTGGGTATATATACTATATATACTACTTTAGTCTGAAACTTCCCTGCATTCAAGACTTTTTACATTCTAAATATAAAAGAATATGTTTCAACACATTCTATAAATTGGAAAATCAATAAAATGAGAGAAGCTAAAAATGAAAGAGAAATCCATCACCTAAAAATTTGGTCAGTCCTTTAAAGTTTACCATAAAGAGATTTGACCTATGCAAGGCTTCTTAAGAACTGCTGAGACACTGTAATGAAAAATGAATACCTGAGAGCTTTGCAAGTGGTAATGTTACCTCCACTCAGACAGAAAGTTGGACAATAAGGTCAACGGTTTCTAAGGTTATAGGAAGCCTGCAAGCTGCTAGGAAAAGGATTTCTTAGCCCAGAGATATTTCTTTGAACACTATTAAAAAGCAGACATTAACCACTCTTAACATTGTTTCCCAAAGGCTCTGTCTCAATATTCTGTGGCAGGCAGGAATTAACGCTAATGTTTAACAATGAGGGACTCAACAGTTCTTTGCATTTCAAGTATCTTCTATCCCTAGAAAGGGTCCCAAAGGTAAGAGTTATTTTCTGGATTAAAATAACTATTTACTAGCTACAGATCTATGACTAGATATTTCTACTGACCTTACAAAAACAACTATAAAGAATACTATGAAATTGGATAACACTAACAAATTGGATAACTGAAATGAAGAGAATAAATTCCTGGGAAGACAGAGTACTGAGACCGAATCAAGAAGAGAGAGAAAATCTGAATAGATCTATAATTAATGAGAATGAAGAAAAGAGAATCAATTGGTCATTTTAAAGCTATTCTGAAAGAAAAGTCTACAACCAGGTGATTTGGCGCAAGTGGTAAAGAACCCACCTGCCAATGCAGGAGACGCAAGAGATGCGGGTTCAATCCCTGGGTTTCCTGGGAAGATCCCCTGGAGGAGGGCATGACAACCCACTCCAGTATTCTTGCCTGGAGAATCCCAGAAGAGCCTGGTGGGCTACAGCCTATAGGGTCGCAGAGTCCAACACAAATGAAGCTACTGAGCATCCACACACCAAGTATTTAAACAAGAACACTAATTCGTCACAAACTTCTCAAAAGACAGAAGAAAAGGGAACATTTCCCAAGTCACTCTATGAGGTCAGCATTAATTGGGACATCAAAACCAGACAAAGATTTCATAAGCAAACTCTTATGAAGTCAATCAATCTCTTATGAATACAGATTCAAAAATCCTCAACAAAATGGAATTTGGCAACATGTGAAAAGGAACATACATCATGATCAAGTGATTTATTCTAGGAATGGAAGGTGAATTTAGTATCTCCCCAAATCAATTAACGTAACATACCACAACTCTAGAAGAAAGGACAAAGAATTCGAAGCTTTCACGATCAAAACACTCAACAAACTAGGAATGTAAGGTTCGAGGATCAAGGATCAAACCTTTGTCTCCTGCACTGGCAGGCAGATTCTTTACCACTGAGCCGCCTACTTGTTGGTTATCTGTTTTAAACAGAGCAGTGTGTACATGTCAGTCCTAAACTCCCAATCTATTCCTCCACTCTTGCCCCCTGGTAACCATAAGTTCATTCTCTGTTTCTGTTTTGTAAGTATGTTTATTTTATAATTTTTTTAAGAAGTTTTTTTAGATTCTGTATATAATACATGTACACACACACATAATACTCTGTATATAATACAAGTGATATTTGTCTTTGTCCGACATCACTCAGTATGGTAATCTCCAGGTCCATCATGTTGCTGCAAACGGCATTTCATTCTTTTTTAATGACTGAGTAATATTCCACTGTACATATGTAAAATGGTACAGCAGTTTTGGAGAAGTGTGGTGGTTCCTCAAATATATTAAGCCCAGAGTAACTATGCTGCTGCTGCTCAGCTGCTCAGCTGTGTCTGACTCTTTGCGACACCATGGACTGCAGCCCACCAGGCTTCTCTGTTCATGGGGATTCTCCAGGCAAGAATAATGGAAAGGGTTTCACTCCTGGATTTATGCTCAAACACATGAAAACACATATAAAAAGCTGCCATCAATGTTCATAGCAGTATTCTTTACTATATGCCCAAAGTGGAAACAACCCAAACGTCCCTCAACTAAAGAACAGATAAACAGTGTGGCATACCTGTATTACATTATTTCTCAACAAAAAGGAAAGAAGTTGCTGACGCATGCAATTGAATGAACCTCGAAAACATTATGCCAGGTGAAATAAGTCAGTCACAGTGTATGATTCCATTTATATGAAATGCCTAAAATAGGTAAATTTATACAGATAGAAAATAGATCAGTGGCTACTTATGACTGGGAGGTTTGCAGAGAAATCAGGAGTGATCGCTAATGGGTATGGGATTTCTTTCTGAGGTGATGAAAAATGACTAATATTGAATGAGATGATAACTGTACAATTCTGTGAATGCCCTAAAATCCACTGAATTGTACACAAAGTGCGAACTGTCTGATAAGTGAACTATGTCTCAATAAAACTGTTTAAAAAATGTTAGGAATAGAAGTAGGAGATCTACTAACTTGTACCAAATGGTAGAAGAGTATATAATTTCCACAGTTGGCAAACCTAAACAAAAAGTCTTCTATAAATATCATGAATCCTCCAAGGACAAAATTTCATTCAGAATACATACTTTGTTCCTTTAAAAAAGTGAATTTGGCATTATAACAAAGTTTCCTCTCTGTTAGCAAAGTGAGAACCAAAAAATTCTTGAACAAAAAAGTTTCCATTTTCCTATCTTTCTTCTGTGAAATAATCCAAAATATAAATTTTAGTAAAAGTGAAATAAAATATACATATTATGAGTA